TCTACCTTATATGAACAAACAGTGGGACTTCTTTTTCAGTGTCCTAGATAGAAAGGACTTCTTAATGAGGTCATTTCATTCCTGTGTTACAGAGCCAGTGGAAGATTGTTCCTTACCCCAACAAATTCTCCAGCATTTTGACAGGGTTTTTTAATGTTTGGAACAATGCAGCTACCAGTAGTTTAGAGTCTGTTCTACATTCTTATAGGATTTCTGCACCAGAGCACTTTTCCTAATAATTTATCACTTTCACTTTTTTCTTAACCTTCAAATAATTCATTCTGGGCTTTTTAAACACTGCTACATGTTGTAGAGCTCATGCTTGGGAAATCAGATTGCTGTCCAAATATCTCAATCTCCTTCATTACAATTTACTAGTGTTCTTTAAAATGCATTAGGATGCATGTTCTCAATATGTCAAATGTCAACTCATTTGCATAAATATTTACAAAACCCCACATAATTAAGAAGTATGTAATTAGCCTAACATTTGAAACATAATAAACCAAGAAGTTAATCACTTTGGCAACTTAGTAGACATCAACTACTTGAAGCATTGTATTATTCCTTCCTTCTGTTTGCATGGGAGCCTGTTGAAAGGCCTTGTGTTGCCATGGTATTCTTGTCAAACATGTGTACAGGAAATCTGTTATAAAATGTACACTTCACATTTAGCCTTTTAAAGTTATTTCTTCCAGCTGGTCAGATATCTTAATCGGATATTATTTAAAGAATTCTTGAGAATTTGTATTGCTCCTCTTTGGGGCACTTATTTGCAGGGTGTGAAGGAAGAGGAATTTTCTTGACATTTCACCTTGTGTATCACATAAAAGCAGACCAAAAAAACCCATTGGCTACCACAGCTAGAACACTAAACTACTACTCAGGACTGTCTGTAAGCATAGCAATTTTTGGGTAGTATTGCAAAACCAGCTAGTATGTATCCTTCCCTTCCCTCCAGTGGTTAGAGGTTATAAAATTAGAAGCTTCTAAAATCAGCATAATCAGCCTCTGAAGACTTGAAGATTTATGTTTGTATATATTATTAATAACATATATGTTAAGCTAATGGCCTCTGTATAAACACTGCCTATACATGTGGTAACTAGCTAAGAATATAAAAGCTGCCATGCTAAAAGAGTTGCAGGACCTGCCACTAAATTCAAAAGCAAACAAATAACACCCCCCTTCCCCTAAAAAAACCCCAAACCTCAAAAGCAAAAGTTGAGTGTTGTTGGGATAGCAGAGGTAAATTCTGCAGGAACAATACAAATAAAAACGCTACTTCAAGTGAAGACAGCAAGAAGAAATGGAATTTATTGCATGCAGAAAAAGGAAGATGGCCTCAGGAATTTGAGCAGTTTATGGCCAACCTACACATGCACCTTTTTTTTTTTTTGCCAGCAGACACAAGCAAACTTAGCTCACACTGTGAGATGGCTAAAGGCTGTGTGGCTACAGCTAAAACTCTGCTGTGAGGCCAGGGGGACAAGTCTGGACACAGGCAGATGTCTGTCATGTAGGTACTAACTTAATATGCCGGCTTTGCTGGGCTACTATAATATGGACTGCTGTCAGAATAAAGATGTAGAAGGCTTTGCATTAAGAACTTCCTTAGACCCATCGCTTAAGAATATTGGAGTTGGTAGACTAAAATTGCATCAAGCAGGGAGTTGTCCAAAAATGAGGTTCAGGGGCAGTCTATTTTATTTGACACAAAGGTTATTGCTGGAGTCAATAGTTTTTGGTTTAGATGATTAAAACCTCCCATACTACTGGTAAAAGCTGACTGCTGAGAGTTGTACTTCTCCTAGGGCACTGTCATGTAATTGGACAGTTAGTTCTTTTAAGGAGCGTTGTAGAGAAGTTCACCTTCGCTTTAAGAGGAGTGAAGTATGTTCTAGTAGTATGCTTCCTCTGAGTTTACTGTTAGCAGCTTAAAAGGAATTTAGGGAACTTCAATATTAAAGCAGAAAGCTTTTGAGTTCCTTCATAGAATCATAAAATCATAGAATCATAGCTAGTTCCAGCCGCTGCCATGGGCACTGGGCCAGCTTGCTCCAAGCCCCATCCAGCCTGATCTTGAACACTTCCAGGGATGGAGCAGCCACAGCTTCTCTGGGCAACCTGTTCCAGTGTCCCACCACCTTCATTGTAAAAAATGTATTCCTTATATCCAATATAAGTCTACACTCTTTTCAGCTTACAACTGTTGCCCTTTCTTCTGTCAGTACAGGCCTTGGTAAAAAGTCTGTCTTTCTTAAGCCCCTGTTGTTGAAAGGCTGCAGTAAGTTCTCCCTGGAGCCTTCTTTTCTCCAGGTTGAACAACCCCAACTCTCTCAGCCTTCCTTGCAGGTGAAGTGTTCCTTCTCTCAGATCGTTTTTGTGGCCCTTCTTGGCACTACTCTGACAGTTCCACATATTTCTTGTGTGTGAGACCCCAGTGCTAGCTGCAGTACTCTGGGGCAGAGGAGAATCACCTCCCTTCCCCTGCTGGTCGCACTGCTTTGGATGCAGCCCAGGATACTGTTGGCTTTCTGGGCTTCAGACACTGTCTGATTTTGACTATAGCCTAGGGAGAACTGTGTTCTAGACATGTCATGCTGAGCACTTTTCATCCATTGCTTTTGGTGTATTGATAAACACTCAAAAGTTTAATGCCAGAAGACAGTTCTGGCATTAAATAACTTTTCACTGTTCTACTAGGAAAATAACCATGGGTTAATTCACACTGCTGACAGTACCACAAAAGGCCAATGACTTAGAAATGCAGCCCAAGATATTGGTGCCTTAAATTTGTATTTCATCTCCATTATAATTCTTTCTTTGCTCATTGTCTCTCTGACTCTTTTGTAAGTGACTTGTAGGGCATATTTCTTGTTTTGTACAGAATTTGGGCAGCTAGAGTCCATGCATAGTTTAAACTTGTTTTAATACAGACTTGGCAATGTTTCCTAAGCAAACTGTCTCTTCATTCCTGAGGCCCTCTTTCCTGGAACATTTGTCTGCTAGGTCAAGATAAATGTGTTGAGAACTGGACTTAATGTAACCACCTACCGTTGGCTTGATAGATACGACTGGATTGACAGCTGTGATTTGGCTGGAAGGAATGCTGTGGGAGTAGGGCAGCTTGCCATCAACCATAAGTGTCTAGCAGGATGAGCAGAATGAAAGGACACGAGGAATCTCATGAAATGCAAAAGAAAATCAATTTGGTATTTAATGAAGTTGCTTTCCAATCAGTTATTTCTCGGTCACTGGTGAAATCTTGCTCTGGTGACTGAAGGCAGAACATATCTCTGAACCTTTACAGAAAATACAAATATACCCAAATAAGAGAACTGTTTCAGGTGGCTCAGTCTCAGTGCACGGCTGGTGAACACATTTAGAAATTAACTGACTAGTGATAGTCTCCCTGACAGGTTTTCTTAATTTTAAATAAGACTTCATTTTATATGCAGTCTTTAAAAGGGCTTTGCCTCTTGGTCCTTGGAGTTACTTGACATCATTTGTCCCTTTTTCAGGCACATTGTCTTTCTATCCCAAAGTGCCATTAGACTGCAGTTTGGTCTGCAAAAATTGTGAAAAAACAGAACACTTTCCAGGAGCAGTAAAAAGACGGGTCTCTGAATTTTTAGGATTTGGATGGCATCTCATTTCTAAGTCCTTTTCATAGTTTGTACTCCATGTTACACACCAGCCTGGTCTTCACAGTGTAATGAGTGGAAGGGGTAGAGCACTTTTTCTAAGAGGAGAGGGGCTGAACACAAGGTCATTAACTGCAGCTTTTTATGATTTATGTAACCTAACAAATGGAAGGTGATATGGGAATGGTGTTGTTCTTTTGGTTTTGGTTTTTTTCCCCAGTTACTCTTCTATCTTGGTACTCAGCAGTGTGAATGCAGGTTTTTCTTTAGGAAAGGTGCATTACAGGAGAACTCTGTTTTTAAAGACAAGTTGTTCAGCATAGGGCTTAAACTAGCAGTTTCAGCAGTTCAGTTTCAGCTGAAAGAACTCCTGAGAGGTCAAAGGAGGAGAGCAAACATCTTCAGCAAGAAGAACATGAAGTTCGTTTAGTGTAAAGATGACTATAAGTAGCACAGAAGCTAATGAAATTGTTTGAACTTTCTGTAAGATGTGCTTATGACCTTTGAAGCTGTAAACAGCAAGGTGGTTTTTCTCTGTAGTGGTTGTCAGTTTTTATTTCCCCTCTTTTAAAAGTTTTGCTTTCTTTCACTGAAGATGTTTAATCATAGCATGCTGATGGACACTGCTTTGTTCAGATACTCAGGTGTGCTTTCTATCCAATTTGTAATTTAAATTGTGTTAACCTAGGAATATAAAAAAATTTACTGTGTAACAGTCTCTTCCTTTGTTGTGTAGACCTAGTATGAGTCAATGACCAAGCAGAAAAGTTATCTGGCTTCTGTTTTGAGTTTCACTACTAGCACAAAAGCATTCCACTTCGGCTAATTCCCTGCCTTGTGACAAAGAATGACACAACCCACTGCTCAGATGTGTTATTTCAGGCCCCTCCTACCCATCAGCCTAGAGTCAACTGTGACAGTAATAAATTGCTGATTTAAAAAATAAATTTTAAAAATAGTATAACTGTTAAAAGTCAACCTCTTTATTTGTCTCTGCTTCAGATTTACAAACTGCAATGTCATGCCTTAGGAACTATGGTTTCACGGGTAATTTCATTAAGTATATATGCTGTTCTTATTCACATACTTGTCATATTAGTCAAAAACCTTCACTGTTCATTTAGATGACTCAAAGTGATCCTCCATGTCCTAATTTGCAGGAAGGAAACTCTTCATCAAACTTGCAGCTTTTCACAGGGGCATTGCTCAGAAAATTGGAATTCTGTAGCCAACTCACAATTGCAAAATAAAGCTGAAGTGCACTGCCAAATACAATAAGACTTTAAATGGTTATGAATGAAAGCAATATGAAGATTTAATTATTCATGTCCCTGTGTGCTCGTTTTCCCCTAGGTGGCATTGGCAGGGTCGTCAATGGTGCTTTCATGGTATTGAAAGGTCATCGGTCAATTGTAAACCAAGTCCGGTTTAATCCTCACACTTACATGATCTGTTCTTCTGGTGTTGAAAAGATTATAAAGGTAAGATTAACTAGCAGAAAATGTGTTCTTCCCATTTTTCAGAAAGAGATGCTTTGTGTTCCTCAGTGTGAGTCTTTTCCACACCCATCCTGTCTTCTCATCTTATTCTTTTGTAAAATGGTGTGTCTCATTTGTTGGCTAAACTGATGCAAATTTTCAATTGGACATTTCATCTTTAATCTTCATTTTAATTTTAAAGTTTTCAGAGGTAGGGGATAAGGTCAGAATTTCCTGGATTTGTACCTTGAAAAATGATTTTTTTTTTCAGTTTAATTCCACACATAACTGAAGTATAATGCAAACAATCCTTCCTGGGAGAGTTTGGTCATGGCTGTAACATGGGGTCTTCTATGACTTCTGATACACTGGGCTAAAATTTAATAAAAGTATCTCCAAAGAGTATTGCTTAGCCTTTGCCTGTCCTGATCTGGCTGAATTTGGCCCAAATAATGCCTCAGGAGCCCTTCTATAATTTGTATACATATTTCTGTATGGAATCAATTCAACATACCTTTCTGTGGCTTTCAGAGGAAACAGGACTCCTAATACCTTGCACAGTATGTCTTTTCTGAATCCTTTAACAATGGACAGTACTTCTAGAAAGTTTGTACCTTTTTATGTGGAACTGAATCCAAAACTTTCCTTATGGAATGACAGTCAGTTTTGTGGGAACAAGGCAGAAGCTTTTTTCTTATTTCTGATAGCAAAGGTTGAGAGTGGGGAGACAGAGGATTTTGCTACACTAATGTAATTTTCATTCTGCTGCCATAGATTTTTTTTATAATTTAGGTCTATCAACAAGGTGAAAGAAGCCATAACCATTTAATTTTGAAGTAGGATAATAAGAACTGCTTTATAGCCATGAATATGGCTATAAATAAGGCTGTTAGACTATTAGGAAATGCTTTGGTCAGCTACAAGTTGACTGAATGAACTTGTCCTGCAGAGGAATGTTTTACTGGTCTGCAACTTATGGACCAGAACTGGCCCAAAATCCTGGGACCATGGCCCAATGCCAGCTGCATTGCTTACATTACAGCTACAGTCAGCATTTGGTTTTTGACTGGACTACAGCTTTCCTTCTCTTCTGTCTTCCACTGGTACTTTGGTTTGCTTTTCTACTTTCTTCATCTGTGTCTGCCTGACAGGTTTGATCACAAATCTGTCAAATACAGGCTTTGAACAAAAGTGCATTGAACAGTCTCAGTAGCTCACTGATTTTTCAATTTCCAAGCAGTAAAACTGCCACTGTTTAACAACGGTTTTGCCAGAGGCTTTTTTTTTTTTTTTTTTGCTTTGGGAACTTGATTTGAATTTTCCCTTTTGGATTTTAGATCTGCTGACCCTTCACCCTATGAATCCTTCCTGCATGAGTGTGCTTAGAGCATTGGATTAGCATTGGTATAAACATCCCCCGTGTTGCTTTTGTGTGCTTCTGCTCAGGTTTTGGCAGAGCATCTTTTTGCCTAGTGATTAAAAGGTTAGTTCGATTAAGGCTCCAGTCACAGGTTGTGCAACTCTTACAAAGACACCTCTGCTTGAATGCTTCCTTAGAAGAGAAGGCCTGTTGTGTCACAGTATGTGTGATGGAACTCGTGCAGCTGCTTTGAAGGAGCTGGATTCCCCAAACATTGCAAGCTAGAAACAAATTAAGGGAAAGTTGTTTAATATATTAAGTTTATTAGAGAGCCAGAACTTCTTACCCTTTTGTTGTGTGTCATTTTGTCTCAGCTTGTAATGTGCCTTGTTTGGGGATCAGGTTGTTTTAGCACTGTCCTGTCTGATCTGCATGACTTCACTCTTTAAAGGTACTGTTTTAGGGAACAGAGGTTTGTGGGTGACCATAAAGTGGCAGTTTCTTCTTCCAGCTACTTCTGTGGATAGGCTGGAGACTAGTAACTGCCACTAGCAGAAGAGCAAAACAGGAAAAACAGCACTAGCAGTTCTGAGGGGCCATTTACTGCGTTAAAACCAGCTGGGAACACAAGTCCTTCCCTTGCTGTCTTTCTTCCCCCCATATAAATGCTTGATGTGCTTGCTCAGAGAAGTTGAGATGACAAGAGGAAGAGCCATTAAAAAAATTGTAATTTTTTTTTGTTTTCTTGTTTTGTTGAGTTTTGTTTGCTTGTTTTAATAATTTTCTTAAGAAGTGTCCTTCCTTTTACTGTCCTTCCAGCAACTTCAAAACCCTTTCTGGCATTATATCACAAAAGATAACTTCACTGTGGTTAGCTGTTATTCCATTCCCTCAGTTGTAGAAACTCTGTGATGTATTACAAATGTGGTTGCAAGTAGTTGTTTGTCTGAGGCCTTAATTTTTAGACTAGCCAGCCTAAATTTAGTGCTTCAAGAAGGGAGGAACTGATAGCAGCAGCATCAAGGCGTAACACAGACAAGCCATTCAATAATTCCACGTGCTTCTGCCAACACACTTCGTATTTTAATGCTGATTGTAAACGAAATACAAATTTG